TTTTTTACCTCTTATATTAAATGCTCTACACTTCAGATTGTCTGAAATCTAGTTTAACTGTTTAGGGGCGAATTGTATTTTTTAAAATATACTTTCTACTTCATATTGTTGTAGTTTGGAGTAATATTTATTTTCTTTTCACAGCATGTTGACGATTCTGGTTCTACCCAGCGGACCTCAGTATGAGGTGATGCTGAAAGGAGAGGTGGTCCAGGGAGTTTCTGGGAAAATAGTATCCCTACCTGCTGTATTATCACAGGCTGAGGTCCCACCCATCCTCTCCAACAAACAGTTCATGGCATGGGGAGGGGTTACCCTGGGCAGAGCCGTGTGAGTATACGTAGCCATAGAAACTGCTAGAAACTGCCATTCAAAAAAAGTGAATTGGATGTAAATGATGCTTGTGTGTTTGTAGGCAACAGAAACTGGTTCTAAGGAACAATTCACCCACTACATCACAGCAACTTGGACTTCTCATCAGGGGTCAAGACCAAGACTGTTTCCAGGTAAGCTAACTCATTGAGAAATGTAGTTTTAGACATGGAGGTCTATAATATATGGAGCTCCTGGTATATTACTACTTGCCTATTTCTATCTCAACCCTGCAGCTGCAGAGCTCATTCGGCCCGGATGAGCGACTGACACATAACAGGGAGCTGTCAATCAAACCCAAAGAGGATGTGACTGTTCATCTGCTCTTTGCTCCCACCCGTGTTGCATCCATGCTGGCTAAACTGGAGATCAAGCAGTCTGCTGCACGTGCCTCCCAGCCTGGGGTCAAATTCACTGTGAGTTTATTAATAATCTCTCATAAACAGTAACATTGTGTTACAAATAGGTGGTGTTACATTTTAGCGTGGTGTTCTCAGATCCCTCTGTCAGGCTATGGCGGCACGAGTAACGTGATCCTGGAGGAGTTGAGGAAGTGTTCTGACGGCTATGTGGCCACGCTGAGTGGAGTGCAGGCTGGTCGTGTCTGTAAGCTCTGTGTGTGCGTGCGAAACACGGGTTCACGTGCTGCCTTCGTAAAAGCGGTACCCTACAGCAGTCTTCAGAATCGAGCTGTCATGGACTCAACCATTATTAGCTTGTCCCCTTCACAGTTTGTCCTGAAAGAGCGAACACAGGAGGTGAGCCGTGTGTGTGTGTTTTATGCCTGTATTTGCTTGGAAGATTTATCAGTGCTGTTTCAACAGGTGATCACAATAGCGATGAAGGCTACACGCAGAGAGCAGGCTCTCTGTCAGTCTGGTGCAGCTCTCCTTGCCACTGTCTGCCTCTTCTGTGGGGACGAGGTCTCTCGACAACAGTTCAGAAAGTCAGTGGCACTTCTCATTTGACTTGAATTCTCAGCTTAAATGAGGAACATTTTAGAAACATTTTAGTCTTAAAAAGGAATAATATTTATTACATTTACATTTATCAACAAAAATCTATTAAATATTTTATATAACGTCTGAGAATGTTTTATTTGAAAAAAAAAAAAAAAAAATTAAAGATCTTTTAACTTGATGTCTGAATCAAAAATAGGCAGATGTCACATTTGAGTAATTTATGTACTTTTGCAGTTAAACATTTTTTGAAAAAATTATACTTTCTAAGTGCCCTCTATCTTTTCAGTTGAACAAAGTAGGTTGCCTCCGAATCAAAACAAACTGTTAAACAAAAGAAAAGTTTTGAATGTAGCCATACATAGTTCACGGTTGAACTTTTTGGAAATGAAATTTAATTACTCGGGATGCACCGATATGAAAATTGTCCGATAACGATAACTCTTTATATATGAAAGCCGATAACCGATATGTTGGCCTATAAATCTAAATCCAAATTTTTAGATAATTTTTGAGATCCTGATTTACACATTCTGTGATTTGAAAACATGTTTTGTAATTTTGTTGTTTTTAATCTGTTTTCAAGGTTACTACAAATCAAACCAGAAGCAGGGAATAAAGTACTGTCTGAGAACAGCTTATTAAAAAGTATCTACTTTGATGAAATGTTCCTTGGAGAGGAGCAGGTTCAGGAGGGTAAGATGACGAGGATTTGCTCAAATTAATTACTTTTAATCAGTTAACTGACCCTGGTTGTGATTGTGGCTTTGTTTATTTTCAGCCTATGATCTGCTTCAAAGGCCAAATGAAGCTCAGATTTTCTATGGCAACATGAGCAAAGTGATGCTGTCACTATTTGGCACTATGGAAATGTCAGACTCTGGAGAGAGTGACCATATGGAGTCCGTCAGACCTTCACAACGGCACACTTCTGAATCAGACAGGTAAACATCCTCAGCGAACGTCGTACTGAACATGAATGACTGCTTTCAGATTTCACTGTGCTGATTAAGTAAATGTGTAGTTCTCCACGCAGCGGCTTGGGGTCGTCGGGCCGCTACATCAGTAATGTTTCCCTGGACGTGCTACCAGTCAAAGGTCCTCCATTAAGTCCATCAGAACCTGTGCTGAAACAACCAGAGCTGAACCTAGAGAACACCTGGAGCATCAAGCCTGAACAGCTGGTTCTCACAGCACCCACTTTCAGTAAGACTCATTTGAGTTTAAGAATGTGATATTGAAAATGACCACAGGTGGTTTAATAAATGTTGTTAATTGTAATTGTTTGACTCAAAGAAAATGCACTTAGCAAGTGAATGCTTCCCCTTCCAAATGTTGTCTTCTGCTGGTTTATTTGCAGACAGTGCAGCTGACACCAGGCATGTACAGATACTAAACCACTCAAACAGAGAGCTGAGCTTTGAGCTGTCCTGGCCAGCTCACTGCCTTACCATCACCCCACAACATGGAGTCATTGAACCTCAGTACGAGACTCGCATATAAACAAACACCAGGAAAATCAATGACTTGGTTTTGTTCTCATTTTTCAAGTACATAGCTGATATAAATGTTTTTTTTTAGGAGCCACATGCAAATCCTCATCAGTCCCAATCCTTCTTTAGCAACCAAATCCTCCATGCTGCCCTGGAGTGGACAGATCTATGTACAGTGTGATAATCAACAGAAGGTACTAATTTCCTGCAGAATCTTATATCTGACTTAAGAGGGAGTGTACAAGTTTAAGTGTTGTTTCAAGTTCAAGACAAGTTTTTATATCAACAGCATACTGTGACATACTGTTGATTTTACCAAAGAAAATCATTTTGATTTTACAGTAATGAACTTGGAAGCACAAGCATAAGGAGCAACACATTCTACAGAGTTTTAAAACAAGAGTATTAAAGGGGTCCTGTTATGCTCTTTTACAAAGTCTTGATTTTGTTTTGGGGGTGTACTAGAACAGGTTCTCAT